TACTAAGAGAGGTTCTTCCCACCAGAGGTCATTAGTTAAGTATTCTGGTTTCATGTCCGGTTGAATTTTTCCTAAACTATATCTAATGATACAGTTATGTATAATAGTTCCGTACAATAAATTTTTCTTACATGCTTTGCAGTATGTGTGGATATGATGGTTTTCTGTATCACATGAGAAAGTGCATTGTGATCCTCCTCTGGTGATGGGTTATCCAGCGATTACTTGTTTAATCTTTATGTTTTCACAGTAGATTTCTTCTAGTTTATTGTCAGAAGATTTATACCCAATGGCAGTAATTAATACGGTATTAGAGTATTGTCTAGACAATTCCTCTTCAAACCATTCATCATTTTCTTCAGATTCGGGAAAAGAAATATGCCATTCTATATCTCCTTTTATACTAATGTTTTCATCCTCATCGTCAGCTATAACTGTTTCAGTAAGATCAATAATGAAACATTCAGTAGTTTTTTCGTCATACATGTGAAACAATACATCAGCATTAGTATTATGTTTCTCTACTCTATGTTTTATGGTAAAATGATGTTGTTGCAATTCCATGATCCATCTAGCACATTTTTCTTTTGGCATTTTTGAGGTTTTCAGCCATTTTAGGGTAGCATGATCAGTTACGATAGTGAATGATAGACTAAGATAATGATGAAAATACTTAATTAACCAAACAATTGCTAGGTACTTTAAGTCAGTGATGAAATAATTTTTCTCAGTCTTGTTAGTCAACCTACTAGCATATGCAATAACATATTCTTTTCCATCTTTCTTTTGAGATAGTACAGCACCTAATCCTTTCTTTGAAGCGTTAGTATATAAGGTAAAAGATATTTTGAAGTCTGGGTACTGTAGAATTAGTGCTTTGATAAGCCTTTCTTTTAGTCAATCAAAGGCATGTTGTTGTTTTTCTCTCCATTCAAAGAGCTGATCTTTCTTTAATAATAAGGTCAACGGCTTAGCATGTCATGTAAAATCTTTAATAAATTTTCAATAGTAATCAAATAGTCCTAATGTAGCATGTAGTTGAGTTAGACTTTTTGGTTCTGAAAATTCTTCAATCTTTTTGATTTTCTCTGGGTCTGGTTGAATTCCTCCTTGTCCTATAATATGTCCTAAGAATGCTAGAGAAGGTTGGCAGAAGTAACATTTCTTTAATTTTATTACTAAATGAGCATTTCTAAAAGCTTAGAATACTTGTTTAATATAGTCAATGTGTAATTCAAAAGGTTTTTTTGTGTAAATGATTACATCATCGAGGTAGACCAATACGAATAATTCAAGGAAGTCTTTTAGAACCCAATTCATAAGCCTTTGAAATGTTCCAGGTGCATTGTTTAAACCAAAGGGCATGACTAAGAATTTGTATAATCCATTTGCTATAATAAAAGCAGTTTTCTTAATATCATTAGAATGCATTGTCACTTGCCAATAACCACTGGCTAAGTCGAGGGTAGTGAACCAATTGGCTCCACTTAGTGAGTCCAATAAGTCATTGATTCTTGGTAATGGATATGCATCAATTTTTGTGATAGCATTGACTTTCTGATAATCAATACATAGTCTTTTTTCACCTCCTTTCTTTCCTACAATTACAACAGATGAGGCTCACAGACTATAGAAGGGTCAAATTATACCATTTTCTTCCATTTTCTTTAACTTTTGATTTAGGAATCTGGTATTTTTAGGATTAGTTAGATATGGTTTTTGAGCAATTGGCATAGCTGTTTCAGTATAAATATGATGTTTGATCTCAGTTGTTCGTCCTATCTCTATTTGACTTCTTGCATAAATATTATAATATTCTTCTAGAAGATTCATAAAAGCCTGCTGTTGATAGAAATCCAAAGATCCTAGTTGCTTCAAGTTAGTTGGATCAGTTCTAGCAGTATATCCTGCGATTTTAGCAAGATAGGCAGTTGGATTGTCTTCTAATTGTTCATTTAATTCTCCATTATCATCAGTATTCTCTTCAGATTGAATAGGAGAGTAATGATCAGACCATGGGTTGAATCCCAACTCATCGTCTAATTCTGATTCTTCTGATTTAATATCATCAGATAGATAAATAGGATATTCTTCTAAGTATTTGTCCTCATATTCTTCACTTTCATATTCATCCTCAGCTTTCTGAGTCACAACTTTAGCTGTTTTTGTAAATGCAATAGG